AGAATATGGCATTTATTATCATGTTCTTTTGCCTCCCCATGGCCGCCTTGCTTTTTCACATTACTGTCACATGTTATGTGATCTCATCCCTACTGTTTATATGTTAAACACACATACTTCTGATGTGTGCTGCCTTTATCTATATTGCCTGGATCCTGTTCTTGGCTCTGGCCTTTCCCACTTGTCTTTAACATGGACACTCATGAGATCCTCCAGGAGGACCAGTGCATCCTCAAGCTCTGCTACATCAGGGCCAGAGACTTGTTGGGCTTTGTGTTCATGCTGGCCATGCCTGCCATCTATGGCAAGCTTTTCCATTGCCACTGCAAAATGAAGCCAACGCACATGGTATTGGCCATCAGCCAGAAGTTATTGTTCCTATGGGTCTGGGGTCACCAGCCAAGGTGCCACCTGCTTTATCTCTGGCGATGACCTGGAGTCCATGTGACCCACCCTGGTGGACAGCCAGCAGAATGGCCCTTGACTGCTAGGCATGGATAAGGTTAAGGGCAGGAAGCAGTATGCCATGTGTTCTATTCCATCATGCTTCTCTTCTTGCCCCTGGGCCCTTGTACTGTGAACCTTCATCAAGGTCTGTGCCATGTCCCATTACTGTTAACACTGTTGAGTTTTGTCTAGGTTGCTATCCACCCCAGTTGGCTTCCTGGTCAACAAGGACCTCAAGAACTGCCTGTGGACCAAGGCCCCCTGCCAGTGCATGAGACACACACCTGCCCACCCAAGCCTTCCAGGAACCCTACTGGCTGCCAGACTGATGGGCAGGCTGGTGTGGCCTTGGGTGGGGGGAAGATTAATGCTATATGCTGCTTATTTTGCCTCTGAGTAAAATTTTGCCACTTTCCCCATTTTCCCTAATGGGAAAATAGACCTGTAAAAGTGTGCTTTTTCTGTTTTGTTTTTTTTAACTTTTTTGCTCTTTATTATGGACAATTTCAGACATGCACAGAAGTGGAAAGGATGGTCCCTGGACCCTGTGTGCCCATCACCTAGTTACGTTAATTGTCAGTTATGATAAACTTGGTTTCATTTGTGTCTCCCTCTTCCCACCTGTATTGTTTATTGGAAATCCAAGACACCATGCCAATGCAATTGTATGCCAATATACTTTGCGAGACTGATATTCTTTCTTGGTGATGATAGTGGTGGGGTGCACTATCATTATCACATCAACTCTGCTTTTTGTTTTAATGTTATCTAATGAAGTTCCAGAGATGGGCTTTAGAAATGAAAGTCTTCAGAATTAATGAGTCTCAAAAAGACATGATGGGGATGCTCCCTTTCCACTGCATCCACAAAAGGAGAGGGAGATCATTCTGCTGTAATACTCAAAGACTGATATGATAAGGTACTTAAATGAGACTCTCTACCAGAATATCAATCTTTTTTTCTCATGTAACTTGGAGACTCGTGTGACTGTTAGGATTCTGATAACAGCTTGTCATGTTCTCATAACTTTAGTCTTGGAAATATATTTTGGAAAGTGTTATGTTCTGTGAAAATAACCTCCTCAGAGTAATCAGTAACTGGTTGTTGTACTTGATAATTTCTCTGTTCCTAAACAGTAATGGGCTTTAGAAATGAAAGTCTTCAGAATTAATGAGTCTCAAAAAGACATGATGGGGATGCTCCCTTTCCACTGCATCCACAAAAGGAGAGGGAGATCATTCTGCTGTAATACTCAAAGACTGATATGATAAGGTACTTAAATGAGACTCTCTACCAGAATATCAATCTTTTTTTCTCATGTAACTTGGAGACTCGTGTGACTGTTAGGATTCTGATAACAGCTTGTCATGTTCTCATAACTCTAGTCTTGGAAATATATTTTGGAAAGTGTTATGTTCTGTGAAAATAACCTCCTCAGAGTAATCAGTAACTGGTTGTTGTACTTGAAAATTTGACACCCTGGTAATAATGCAATTATTTCTCTGTTCCTAAACAGTACAAATAGTGTAAGCTTGCATGCATGATGGAAAAATAAAAACCTTTATCTCTGTTTAAAAAAAAAAAAAGAAAAATTCATTAGTCCTTTGCCATAAAAATAAAATAAAATAAAATTTAAAAGTTATTGAAAGATTAACAGCAGATTGAATACAAGAAAGGATTCATGAACTTACAGGTAAGTCAAGAGCAATCATCCCATCTGAAGCACAGAGAGAAAAACTATTGAGGAACAAAAGCCACAATAACCTATGGGACAGTATTACTCAGTTAACGGACATGTAATTAGAGCCCTAGAAAGAGAAGCAAGTAACAGCACGTGCAGAAAAACATAATATGCGGGAAAAATAAACCACACTAGGCACATCTTACCGAACTGCTGAAAACCAAAAGTAAAGAAAAAAACTAAAAAGCAGCCAGAGAAAAAGGACACATTATATACAAGGAAACCATAAGAATGAAAACTAACTTATCAAAGGAATAAAAAAGCTCTTTATCTCGAGTTCCAAATCAGCAAAAATATCATTCAAAAATGAGGGTGATATGGTGTTCATAACACCAAAGCCGAGGGCTCAAATCCCCATACCAACCAGCTGCCAAAAAAAGGTGAAATAAAGACATTTTCAGGCAAACGAAATCTGATAGAATTTGTCTAACAGAGCTGGGCTTCAAGAAGTTATTCAGCTCTTCAAGCTAAAGGAAAATTTTATTCCAGATGAAAGCACGGAGTTGCATGAAGGAATAGAATAGCAGATAAGGTTCAAATGTAGGTAAATGTAAGACTATTATTTTTTTCTTTATTTAAAGCAAGAATAAAAATGTATAATGGCATTTATAATATAGATGTAAAATGTATAACAACAATATCACAAAGGATGGGAGGGGGCCAAATGGAATTATACTGAGTTAAAAATATGCATCCGTAAATTAAGGCACAGATGCACATTGTAATCCCAGAGCAAACCCAAGCATTCTGGCCTCAGAGCTGGTGCACTTTAACACTATGCAAAGCTGCTGTTTCTTAAGTGAACATAATTTGATCACCACTTGGTGATGTCATGAAGTTTCAGTATTCAGAATAATGTAATAGCATCATCATCATTTCAGTCAAATCCATGATTGGACTAAGAAACCCTTGAGATTCTAAAGTCCTGCCCTGCTCACAACCTCTTATGAGAAAATAGGTAGTTCCACATAATTTGCTGTGCCATGTGGTATGTGACCCTGCTACACTGGCCACAGTGATTGTATCAGGGATCTATTCTCTAGTGAAGGGCAGCCATACTTTTGGCTGGACATAAGGAAGGCCAGTGGCCAGAATGATCCATTTGAATAATCTCTGCCTGATCGGGGCTTTATTTTGGATTATAACTAATAGAATCAATCACATCCTCTTTCAGGAATAGTAGAGAACAGCAGAAGTAGCAGACAGAAGTGGGCAGACAGAAGCTGGAGAGCACATTAGAGGACACATATTGTGATTACACAGCAACGGACCTCCACTTCGAAAGTGAGCACACATCCAGCCATTTGAGGTGCTGGTGTTCACTGCATGACCAAGAGCCATTTTTCTTTCTTTTTCTTTTTTTTTTTTTTTGTCTTTTTCATGACCGGTAAGGGGATCGCAACCCTTGGTGTGGTGTCGCCCACACCGCACTCAGCCAGTGAGCGCACCGGCCATTCCTATATAGGATCCGAACCTGCAGCGGGAGTGTCACTGTGCTCCCAGCGCCGCACTCTCCCGAGTGCGCCACGGGCTCGGCCCCCAAGAGCCATTTTTCTAACTCTCCAAGAAGCTGTGCCTCTGATGAGGCCCTTGCCTTACTTGCCTCTGTATTTCTACAAGCCTCCAGCATTTAATATGTGAGTGTGCCTCCTTACAACTTAAAGGAGCCTGTCGAAATTTATCTTAAAACATAATCCAGACCTGCAATATACAGCACACTAAAACAAATAATTCAGGCTTTAAAAAAAAAAAACTACGCACACATAAAAAGGAATTATACAACCTGAAGTCTAGGCTTTGACACTTACTTTAATATAGGGAATAAGAAAAAATGTGCAAGAAAAACTACTACGAAGTTGCAAAAGATAAATGAAAATGTGAATAGTTAAGCACTCAGAGTTCTCTCCATGCCCTTTAAAAAGCAAGCATTCTTCAAGCTGTAATTTTAATTCAAGAACCAAGGGTAAGTTAGGAAGGCATTAATAACTATGCTTATTTTCCTAGGCTCTTTACATCAAACAAAAGTAATTTTTCAGCCCATAAAGCTCATTCTTAAAGATATTTTAACCCTCTGTGTTCATGTGAATCTTTTTGTTAAACCAAAATAGGTTATCGGGAAAAGGGTATAAACTGTACCTAATTCAACTTGAAGAAAGGAAAGCCACGGTACCCTTAAATTGTCAGTTGAGCCATGAGAGCTTGGTCTCATATCAATCTGAGGATGTAGGTAAACACATAAGCTTTCAATTATAATGACTAAAGAACATCACCCCTAAAGTCACCACGTTAATTGCAAACAACCACTCTGGTTTCCTTGACATGCAAGTACTTTATACAAGCTTACACTTTCCAGCTGTAACTGTTTTGAACTTCAGCATTCATATCTTTGCATTTTCAAAGCACTATGCAGTTCCTAATAGTTTTGGACTAGTCAGTCAGTAAACTGGTTCTGTAAAAGTTTTTAATGTATTTCCTTGTTATTTCACTGTTCTGGAAAATTGCTATAGAAGACAAAAGCTTTGCCCCAAAGTTGGTTCTTTATCTCTCCTTTGGTTTGCAAATGGTACAACCGTGTCTGTCTCGGGGAACAAGCACTTTAATTGGGTATTAAAGAGACTAGGTATATGACCCCTTATTGAATATATCCAATATATTGAAAGGGGTTATAAATGCAGATGAGATCTTAGGTGTGTTTACAACCTGTAATAGTACTACAAAAGAAAACAAAGACAACACATTATGATTTCTCATAGAGAATTGCACATTATTTTCAAAGTAATATTGTCCTAATTTAGCATTCATACAAGTCATATTTTATGATTCCAATTCTTTTATTCATGTTTTTTAAGATGCCCCAAGTAAACCTGGTATATAACATTAAAACTACTATAATTCTAATTCTCTATTTTGAACAAAACTTTCGTATATTGAGATTTCTGAAATCAAAGTAGTAAGGTTTTAAAATACAGCTTATTTTATATATATACTGTCACAACCCCTCTCACCTCACAAAACATTAATTTAGTAAATATTTAATATTGAAAATCAGGTATTTATGACTTGGTGCAGTCATGTTATTATAACCAAGTTGGAAATACAAATAGCCTAATTTAATAGGTCCTAGTGTTTGGACATCATGTTTTAATTATAAAAACCCGCTATTAAACACAAATATGCTCTATCTGAAATCTGTTCGGTAAGCGTCAAATTCACATTTAAAGCATATCCATCATGTAATTTATACCTTATCTTCAAAATATACTTATGAAAAAATTCACTACGGCTTAAGTCCTTCACTTTGTCAGATTATCATATAACAACTCACATCTGCTTAACACAATTTTTATCTGTAGTTCTAAGAGTCAGGCTGTATTCAATTGACAATTACAAAGATTGATAATGGGGATGTGAAGTCACTTACAAACAGTGTGAATATCTATTTGGCAACAATCAACAAAATTTTACATAGTTTGACCAAACAAATTCGTGTGCAGATTCATCCAACAGAAATATACAACTGAACCAACATCTAGACACAGAACTCATTGAAATATCGTTGGAAATAGTGACAAATGAAATGAATCTGTGCAGAATAGAGATAACACAGCAGGCCTGAGAATGCTATCCTTAGGAAGATTTGCTTGCAAGGCTAGCTTTTAGCTAGCAGCTGGAACTTGGCTGGTAAACAGTTCCCTATACTGACATAAAAGCTTTCCCTAAATACCCAAACCTGGGTATATGAAGCCATCACGGAACTGATGTACTATACAGACCAGAGCCACACTGCACTGGGATTCAACTTGTTATAAAATAAAATGTCCTTGTTTAACCAATTTTGAAGTGAGGTTTTACTGCTTATAGTCAAAAGTATCCCTGTGGATTTCCACTTTTGTTGGCTTATGTAAGAAGATACTGAAATTGTAGGCCTAAGCCCTGTGTTTATATCCCAGATGCATCACTTACTAACTTTGTGAATGTGGGCAAGACAATTATCCTGAGGTACCATTTCTTCATTGTACAAGTAAAATGGTACCATGCGTTTTATAAGTACTGTTGTGGAAAAATAGAGGGCAATTCACTGTGTTAGCTGTACAATGTTTGTAAACTTTAATGATCAGAAAAGTTCTAGCAAATAACCTGGTATACAACTAGCCAATAACAAACTTACACCTCTAAGTGACCCAACCCTAGAATGTTTAAATCCCAGAAGCTTCACCCAATGCCTATATTATGAAAACTGCCCTATGTATGGACATCTGAAGTCAGTTAGGGAAACATTTGCTTTCAGTAGCAATTGTGACAGCATGAATTCAAATAAATTAAAGTTTTATATGGGTCAGTCAGTACTAGCATTTTGATTTTTAAAAATTAAATATAGACATCACACATTTTCACTCACAGGACATTTGCAGATTTGGGTTTAATGTTCAACCCATACTTTAAATCCCTCAATAATACAATACTGGAAAACTATATGAAGTATAATCAACATTAAGATAGGTTGAGCCAACCACATGACATGGAGACAGTCTGCTATTGGCAGCAAGTTCAAACATGGCTCAAGCAATCTCTATTTAAATGTATGGAAAGAGAAATTACCAGAGAGGCACATTCATGAAGCTATAGAATTTTTCCTGTGCATATTAATTATTCTGTACCTGAGACATACTCTGAAGTTTACATTACTAACCCCTAAGGTTTTATCAGAAATAATCAGTATTCAAGTACTGTACTTACATAATATATTGACTAATCTTACATGTATAAACATGAACACATAAATACATATATCTACACATACACAAACATACATGTATACACACATACAAGTATATATTAGACCAAAGGGAGTTTTAAAACGAGCACTAAGAAATATTTAATTAAGTGCAGTGCAGCAGTAAAAAACAAGCTGTGAACTTCCTAAGTTATTAGTCACATAAGTTATTGGCAATAGAGGTTTCATATATTAAAAAATAAAGCAAATAAAGCAAAAACTTTATTAGACTTAACCATACAATACACAAAATAGTAAATCCACATCATAAACAAATCTACCAGACTACAGATACAAAATAGTCATTTACATGTAATAAACATTAATACTTCAAGAAAAAAAATTTTAAATAAAACAGAATAGTGTTACCAGAACTGTTACATCATGAAAAGTTATAGAAAATAGTAATAATCTGCAAATAACAATTATTTCTATTACACTCCAAATACAAACTTCATCTCTATTTATGCAGATTTCATAAAAGAAAATGTTAAAATTAAGTTTTAAGAGTAAATTCTCACTCTAATTTTTTGTACTTTTATTCTAGAATTATGTTAAGGTGCTGTCATTTCAAAGAAATAACTAGTTTCCCAGAAGAATTATTTTTAATACTGGCAGTCTTCTTGTCCAATACACAAAATATAAATCTTTCCTTCTGTCAGAAAGCCCCAAATTAAAAACTACACCAGGCTCTTCGTTCAGTGTTTTCTTTTCCTCTTGGGTACAATGAACTCTAAAGACATAAAGTTAAAAAAGTCTGTCAGATTTTAAAAAAACAACTGACACTTAAATGATAATACTTAATTGATAATACACATTTAAACTATATAGATGTTCAACTGTTAGAACAAAAACGCCGATGAAGCAAAGATCCAACAAGAAATCTTAAACCTGACATATACATGAATATTTTCTTCAAAATGATATTGCAGTTTAAAACTTACTATCTACACTGAGATAGTGAGACCTCAATCTTACTGCAATATCAATCTATTGAGATAGTGGATCTTAGTCATCCTAAATCTTGCTTAATAATTAAATAGTTATGTTGATGTTGTTTCATATGGGTGTGCCCTACCCAAAATTAGCATGGACCCAGTGTGCCAGATCTGAAAGTTATCTAGGAAAGTGCTAAGAAAGATAAAGTGACTAAGATTTCAATTTCATTTCAATTAAACCTGAAAATGCAACCCAAAACATTAGTGCCATGCATATTTCTGGCTCCCACAGCAAATGCTATAACCAATACTCAAGTAAGTACCCATCTAGGAACAGCTGTGAACCTAAAGGTTACTGATCATTAAAGGCAAAGAAAGTAATAGAAGGCACAAAAACATGAAAATTATGAAGGGTTTAACGAGAATATTTCCCACCAATGAAAAATAAAAGAGGAACAACAGATAAAGGAAAAGAGAAAAAACAAATTAAAAAATTAAGAAGAAAAGAAAACAGATTCCTGTAAGAGAGCAGCAGCCAGGATAAACAGTTCAACAGGCCAATAAAACGTTATTCAGAGGAAAGCAGGCCAGAGATCTCGGAGAGACTTCTTTAAAAAGAGGAACTGACAGTACACCTAATGAGTACCCATACCCATTCATTCATCGTATGCAAGGCCACTTCAAAAAGTTCGTGGAAAAATAGAATTAAAAGATAATGTGAATCTTTTCATGAACTTTTTGAAGTACCCTTGTATTATCATTCATTTTTAAGTATCATAATGAATGGTATGATTAACACAAATTCTCCGATTAGTCAAAGATAAAAAGATCACAAGAACACACAGCCAACTGCCATGCTCTTTGAGGGTTCTGAACTATGATGCTCTATGAGTGTAAGTTTCCTTCATCAATTTGACAAAATTTCATCTGTACCTGTTTCCCTAAAATTTTCATTCTCCTCTTCCTCTTCTGTAATTACAGGCATACTCAGACTTAAAGTTTTATCTTCCTTATGTACGTTCTGCACATTACCTGAAAATAGTTAGAAATATTTGAAAAATGATTTTACATGAAAACAAAGAATATTAATCTTTGAGGAAACATTTTACACAAATGTTACTATTACAACATAAAAATTAGGTGTTTAAAAACAAATTATAATGGTAAAAAGAAATATGCAATCTACAATACACATCTTTTTTTAAGTATTAATATATTCGCATCTGTGCTTTGAATATAGGCTCTAATTTTTCCACTAAAATAAAGAAAATGGAGAAAAGAGGAAAAAAACAAAATTAGCCAAACACAGACACCTTATTCAATATCACACAAACCAGGAGTTATATCTACAGACATTAAGGAATAATCATGTGTGTTACTTCAACTTTATCCAATTAATCACAAATACAAAATTAGCCAAACACAGACACCTTATTCAATATCACACAAACCAGGAGTTAAATCTACAGACATTAAGGAATAATCATGTGTGTTACTTCAACTTTATCCAATTAATCACAAATATAACTTTAAAGTTTAACATTCTTGTTTCTGAATGTAAACACACTTTTTTTGTCACCACATAAACTCTATAAAATATATTCCTCTAGCCATAATTTGCCACTGACATTCCATTTTCAAAAACACTGGAGGTTTTCTACGTCAGCCTTCTGTTGCCTGAAGAAATATCCTAATCAAATTTATCAAATAACACTGTCACATCAGATGTCACTCAGCACACACTTTCCATATCCCAAAAGCAACCCCTATCCACTCTTTATTCCTTCTTCTTCCCAACACTTTGACCACTTAATATGTTGTATATGAATTTGTTTCTTTATAGTCTGCCTCTTCCCATTAGAATGTAAGGGCTACAAGGATAGAGTCTGGTTTGTTTACATGATGATCCCCAGTACCATGGCATATAAAAGTGCATGGCACATGGTAGGGGCTTATCATTTATTTAATAAATAAGTATTTATAAGTTATTAAATGTGGATTTAACTATTTTATAACAACATTTCATAGAGCAGATATGTTAATAAGTACCTGTCAACACAGGATGCAAGAAATTAAACAAAAATGAGTTTAAGCTTTCTGCTCTGAACACATATATGCTGGGGTCTTTATGGGTTGCAGAGTTTACGGAATGAACAGAGAGCTCCAAGACAGAGTTAAGTAAACTGTAGCAATATGCTCCCATTTTAAACACAATGCAAGTTTAATAAAATAATACCAATTTCCTAATAAGTCATTAAAATAGGATTTTACCTTTATCCACAACTCCAAAAGTCTTAAGAGAAATGATTTTTTACATGGTCTTTACTATGATAATCTTTTAGGAAAACTCTCTCCATAGCTAATCATATATCTTTTTTTTTAGACTTTGAACTTAATTTTTTTTCAGTTGTTCACAAAATTATAATTAATATCATCTAACCAAAATTACTAATATTATTCTCCACAATCTTTTAGCCATGCCCATCTATATCAATATTAATGATTTTTTTATAAGTCTGTATTTACAACCCAACGGAATCTATCCAACAATGACAAAGGAAGGATTTCTGAGTTAAAAACTGACTGTTGAGAAACAAAACTTCATTTAGTCACAGGACAATTAACTACATTTTAGAGATCTATTTCTACATTAAGTGAATCTGTGTTCTGTGAAAGACCTTAAGAACAAATATAATGTTTCACCCACCTAGAATGCAGTCAGGAATCAAGAAGTGAGCACATAAACGTTATAACATTTATCTCAAAATCCACATATTAAATAAAGCTCATGAACTTTAGTCACAGGTGCTTTTATCCTCAGGCTTTTATCCAGAATCTAATTTCATTTATTGTACATAAAAATGTAATGAATGACCAACCAGTTTCCTAGACCATTACAGTTTAGAGGCAGCAAAAGGGCAAAAAAAATTGCTACAAGTCTGCACACTGAGAACAGAAAGATACCCACTTACAGTAAATGTCAAAGAAACTATTTAAAAAAAAAAATAAGACATAAGAACTGATATAGTACTGCAGCACAAAGCCATTTAGTATAAACTGTCCCACAAGCTTAAGCTATTTCTTGATAAGATCATTATATTATAAAACCCAGTAAAATAATATGTTCATGATGATAACCATGAGTCATCAGGAGAAAATTAAATTATATTCAGGATACAGTGTTCTAGAAAATGAGAGAGCATAATAAATTTTATTCTAGTATTTTCTAATTATAAAAGTGATAAATGAACACTGTAGAAAACAAGAAACATATAAAGAATGCAACATATTTTAGAACAAAATCAACCAGAACAATTATTTTTAAAAAGTAAATTCTGACATTTTAATCATTAACCTCAATTAGCCACAATACTAAATTCCCAGAGGGTCTCAGACAGATAGTTTTACTATGTTCAAAGCTAATTGTGTGATGCGATTATCATAACAGACCCTTACTTCTTCTCAAAACAAACCATTACTAGACATGCAGCTAGAACACAACTAAGAATAAGCTGACTTAAGTGTATGTCGGCGTAATTTTAGCTCCAGATCCACATTTCCAATTACCTGAGAGGAGCACAGTATAGCAGTTAAAGACTCAACCTTGGGTTCAGACAAACTCTCATTCAAGCCTCAGTTCTGTAACTGAATCAGGTAGGTGACCTTGGACATGTGAGAAAAGTTTGGCAGACAATAAGTGTTACATAAATGGTAACTGCTATAATCTTCACCATCATATCATTACTATTAATGATGTCCTTCCAACAAGATGCATTTTATATTCTAGGAATGGTGAATGTACACAGCAGAAGCTTCAGAAACACAAACAAGTAAATTCAATCAATATGCTGAGCACCTATTTATGTGCCAGACAGCTATTACTGCAGGAATTGAGGCTAGAAAGGCAGATTGGAGCAAATTCTCCCCCAAATGAAATCCTCTCTTGTCATCTATATTTCTCCAACATTAAAGACAACATTCTCCCAGCACTTAGGAATTAAGCACTCTTGTTTCATCCCTCTCCATCAGCCTCCATATTTGGCTCTCATGTCTGTTAGCCTGCTTCTATAATTCCTACAACCACCTGGACAGATATTCACTACTCCTAAACCTGAACTACTGCAACAGCCTTGCACTTAGTGTTCCTATTTTCAATCTGCCCCCACCTACCTACCATACTACTCCCAGATTAATTTTCTTCAAGAACAACATTGGTCATGCCACTTTCTTGCTCAAAAGCTTCAGATGACTCTCCTCTGCCTACCAAATTAAACATAAACTTCTTGATTCCACATTTAAGGCCTGGTCACAATACAATCCTCGACATATTTTTCCAGCATTATTAACAGTTAACTCCTCAACACATCTTTTACCCTCCAGCCAAAATGGACCCCCCCCCGCCTCTAGACTTCCCAGCTACTTTGACTTTTTTCATGCCAGTCCTTCTACTTGTTGTAGCTTATTGTTTATCTTATTTTTTTAGGTCTCTGGATTCTTTCTGATTACTAAAGTAACACATGGTTTCGTATAAAATTCAAACATTACTGCAATTTATGGACTTCAAAGTTTCTAGGTTTCTTCAGTGCTATTTATTGTGTGTTTGTGGTGTGTGTGTATATATATGTTTATTAACAGAAATGGGATCATATTCTTTTTTAAAAAGCCTTTTTCACTAAGCAATGTACCAATTTATTTTGGACATATTTTTATGTCAGGATATATAGAATTCTCTCCAGCTTTTTAATAACTGCAAAGTATTCCTCTGCATGAATTGACAATAACTTTTTTTACCCATTTTCTCAATGTTATACATCTGAGTTGTTTACAGTCTTTGCCAGTTCAAATAATCTTGCAATAAACAGCCTTCTGTGTCTGTCATTTACACAGGATAAATTCCTAGAAATTGAACTGCTAAATTAAAAGACATGCACATTTGAAATTTTGACAGATGATCCCAAGCTGCTCTCTGAAATGGATGTACCAATTTACTCTGCCACTTAAATTCAGAGATTGTATCTCCTCACACTTGCACTATCAATGGGTGTTCAGTTACCTTTAATCTTTGCCAATATAATAAATTACATCAAAATCATGTTTTGATTTACATTTCTTCAATTATTGAGATTACATATCTCTTCTTCTGTGCATTGACTGCTTATATTTTGTGAATAATTTGTTCATGTCCTAAGCCCATTTTTCTTATTAATTTACAAGAGCTCTTCTAAAATTACAAATTTTAACATTATTATGACTGCCACAAATGGTTCTGCGACATCTTTTGCCTTTTATAAAATATGTCTCCTCTTTTTGAAAAACAAACAAACAAAAAACCATGAAATCAAAAATACCTTCTCCACTTTAAGGAAATAAACTTTTGATTAAAGACAAACTATGAAATAATAAGCACTTGGATCTTAATTCACGTTATTACCTCTGCTTCAGAGTATCTGTAATACCTTATGACCTACAAGTAGCTGGCAGCTGAAATACTTAAGCCATGTCCAGAGATCCAAATTTAGATTGTATTTTATTATACTTTATTCTTTCTCATAGGTTAAATCCTCCCTGATACCCTAGGTAAGTGCAATAACAAATCTCAGATGTGCTACAGAGTCTGTACTTAATTTCAGAGTTTACAAAACAACATTTTCAGTAACTACATTAAGTAATGAAATATGGCTAGTGAAGGAAGTGATAGCTCCTAAATTACATGTGGCAAACACTTAAGAAGAAAGGAACTTTCATTTAATTTCTCTCCTTTCCTTTCTTGCACTTGTTCTTCCTTTGTTCCTCAGCCACATTTAAAAAACCTGTTTTTCAGGTGTTTACGAGAGCAGCTCCACCAGCTTATTTCCCTGCTGTGCCTATATGAAGATTGATGATTAATAAAAGTGCTTGTGTGAGTTTCAAAACCTAAGTATCTCTGATACTTCAGAAAATTTTTTTAAATATAATTAAACAATCTTTTCCTCATGTCGTCTGGTTTTGTGTTGGTTTGGTTGTTGGTCAGATTTATTGAATTATTATTAACAAACAATAAAAATCACTATTTTTAATGTACTGATCTCGGAGTTTAGACAAATGCTTAGTTGTACAGTCACCACTGCAATCAAAATACAAAATTTTTCCATCACCCCCAAAATTTCTCTCAAGCCCCTTTGAGGTCAACACCTTCCCCTTCCCCTTGTGCCTAGCGACCACTGATCTGTTTTCTGTTCTTATAGACTTGCCTTTTTAAAAAATATCATATACTTGTAAATAGAATCCTATAGTATGTAGTCTTTTGTATCTGACTTCTTTCACTCACAGCAATGCATGTGAGATTCATCCATGCTGTTACACGTACTACTAGTTCCTTTATTGCTGAGTAGTATTGCATTGTATGGATATACCACAGTTTGGTTATCCAAATACCAGTTGAAGGATATTTAGGCTATTGGCAATTTTTGCAATTACGAATAAACCACCATAAACTTTATGTACAAATTTTTGTGTGAACATAAGTGTTCATTTCTCTTGAATAAATACCGAGGAACAGGATTTCTGGTTAATATGGGAAGTATATGTTTAACTTTTAAAGACTGCCAGCTTTCCAAAGTGACTAGATTCCCAACAAATATCATATAAAGGTTCCACTTGTTCCAAATCCTCATCAGCTTTTGTCTTTTAATTTATATGTGTATCAGATAACACACTGTCTTGATTTCTGAAGCCTTATAGTTAATTTTCAAAACTGTTTTGGCCACTCTACTTGCTTTTCATTTCCATATATACTTAAAAATAAGCTTGTTAATTTATACAAAATAACCTTGTTGGGATTTTTTACTGGGATTGCACTGACTCTATAGAACAATTTGGTATAAACTGACATCTTAATATTGGGTCTTCCAATCCATAAAAACCATGTATCTCTCCATGGTCATCTTTGATTTCTTTTTTTAGGTCTTCTTTGATTTCTTTCACCATTATTTTGTAGTTTTCAGCATACAGATTCTGTACATATTTTGTTACCTATACATGTAAGTAATTTGTGTTTTTGTTGTTATTGCATTTTTAAAAATTGCAATTTCTAATTACTCATTGTTAGTGTAGAGAAATATTAACCCTGTACCTTGTGACCTTTCTAAATCCCATTATTAGTTCTGGTAGCTATTTTGTAGATTTCGGGGGATTTCTATGTAAAAATTAATTTCATTTGAAAACAGACACAGTATTACTTCTTCCTTTCCAATCTGAATGTCTATTATATCCTTTTCTTGCCTTACTACACTGGCTAGGACCTCCAGTATAATGTTCAATAGGAGCAATTCAAGTGGGTGTTCTTCCCCTATTCTAAATTTTAGGAAGAAGGCATGATTTCACCATTAACTACGATGTTAGCTATTGTTTTTCACAGAAGTCCTTTATTAGATTGAGGAAGTTCCCTTCTAATCCTCATTTTCTCAAAGTTTTTGTCATGAATAAATGCTGGGTTTTGTCAAATATTTTGTCCTTATCTACTAAAATGAACACATTGTTCTTCCCCTTTATTCTGCTAATATGATGAATTACATTGGTTTATTTTCTTGTCTTAAGCCAACCTTATATTCCTGAGATAAATGCTATTTGCTCATAATATATTGCCTTTTCAATGTATTGATGGATTCAATTTACTAATATTTTATAAAGATTTTTTCGTGTATGTTCATGAGGGATATTGGTCTTTAGTGTTCTTTTCTCTCAATGCCAATAGCCCTCTTGTATTTTCTGAAAGAATCTGTATAGGACTGACATTATTTCTTTCTTAAATGTTTGCTAAAATTTCCAGTGAAGTTGTCTGGGAATTTATTTAACAGTTATAGGAATATTCAGATTTTCTATTTTTCCCTGTCAATTTTGTAAACTTGTATCTTTTAATAAATCTATCCATTTTATTTAAGCTACCTTGCTGGCATAAAATAATTCACAATTTTTCCTTATTAACCTTTTAATCTCTGTAAGATCCATAGTGGTATCCTTTACATTACCAGAATTTTTGTTCCTATTTTTTTTTCAGGTAATTGTCTTTACAATATTTTTTAGGCATAAAATCATTATCATTCTCAAAATCATGATAACTGTGTAGCCTCTCTTTCTGATGTACCTCACTTCACTATCCTATCTAATTATCTCATTTTACAGTCCTGTCTAATTACAGTTACTAGCTCTCCAAGAAAAATATAAATAAAACTGTGATATGTTTAATGCATTACCATTAAACATAGGTGGTTTGTGGTCTAATACACACACACAGACTGTTTTAAAACTAGATTAAATTAGTAACCTTCTGTTTCTTTTAGACTATGGTACCTGGGTGAAATGTGGCCCACTACCTGCTTTGTAAATACAGTTTTATTGAAACACAGCCACACTCATTTGTTTTTGTATTATCTATAGCTACTTTCACATTACAATGGCAGAGCTGAATAGTGTGAGAGAAACTGTAAAGGACCACAAAGCCTAAAATATTTACTATCTGGTCCTTTATAGAAACAGTTTGCTGACTCCTTGATTTGGAGGATTTTTTTTTTTAATCAACAATGGATGCTGAATATTATCAAATGTCTTCTTTGGTAGGTATTAAAAGGAATTCACATTTTCCACTTTAACTGTTTTATAATGGTAAATTACATTAACAGATTCCAAACAACTGCACCCTGCTTGCCTCCTGGAATAACACTTAATCAAGGTGTTTCATATCTGGGATTTAGATACATGATTCATGATTTTTTCAGTAATACCTAAGTGAATTTGGTCTAACAGTTCTCCTCACAGTATCTGCTAATTTTGAAAAAACAAGTAGAAAATTTTCCTTATGAAGTTATTTCTTGATCACCCTTAACAAATAATAGTATCTCCTCCTCTGAATTCCCAGTATACTTCAAGCACCTGTTACAGCACTTAATCATATCAGGAATATATTAACAGTATTTAAAAATTTAATTCTCCCTCCCCTGCAACATAAAAAGAAAAAAAAAATGCTTAAAGGCTGCAACTTATCTTCATATACTTCCTGCAGTAGCTAAGAATGTGTTTTGTATTAGGTATTATCTGCATCAATAAATATTTACTCATGTTTCTAATGCTTTTTCTTCCGTTAAGCCTACTAATCAAATTCCAACTTTATGTACGGTGAATATACATTATTTGTGTAATTTTTAAAAGTCAAACTATTAAAATATATAATCATTCCTTTTAAATGATCTACCAAATACCAAAGGTAATTTTACAGATACACAATTTCAAAAGAAAAGCAGTGGCAGTTTCATTAATACAGCTCAAGGGAAATATAGTTTATAAAATACATTACTTATGATACTTTATTCTATACATAAGTTTGATTCACACACAAAAATTACTAATAAAGTAGGCATTGGATAACTATAGACTGTTTCTGTAACTATCTAGCTGTATTATTTTGGACAAGTTATCTAATCTGTATGGGCCTAAATTTCATCATCTATAAAATGATAAATTTGATATGACTGCTAGAGATCCTTTCAGCAAAAAGATTTTGAAAATCTAAAATAATTTATTTTTAATATTAAATCTCACAATGTTCTCAAACAAGTTCTAATCCTTCTTGATAAAGAAATAAAGATAAAGGGAAGCTGTAAGGAAGACCCATTCTCCCTTATTGAGTAAGACTTTAAAAAGTTACCTTTGTTTCTGGAAGACATCTTCCTTCCTGCTGATTTTGATGTTTCTTTGTTTCTTTTTTTCCTAGTTGCTTTGATTTGTCTTTGACCAGATGCAGAATCAGAGTCAGAAGAGTCAAGTTTGACTTGCCGATGCCTTCTTGATTTGGATGCCTTAAGAGTTAAAAATCCAATTAACCACAATTAATTATAAAATGAATTCAACTGTTAGATAATTTACACAAAGACAAAATACACAAAGATGAGGAAAGATTTACAGAAATACTTGTCATAAAGTACTTTACTACTACACTGGCTTGCTTAATATAATTACTTGTGCCACGTACATAGTCTTTACAACATGAAAAGGATTCTGCAGCGCTAATCACCATCTACTCATACTCGGTTAAAATACAGTGGTTCTGTTACCTGGCATGGCTGGGAATGGAGGTATAGAGGCAAATACTATTTTAATCCTATTCTTAACATTCTATCCTCCCTTTCTTCTAATAATAACTTTACTTTCCACAGCACCACTATGTGGTTTCAGTCTATTTCATACTTGGCTCCAAGTATGATCATATGTCCCAGATCTGGCCAAAATGAGTTGCACATCCCCATGGCCACGGTGATTTCTCCAAGGGTGGGCATGTGATCTATATCATAGATAACAGAACTCTACTTAGAACTATTTAACTATTAGGAAGGAAAATTTCTCTCCAATGAATCTAAACCAGAGCACATGCAAAGCTGAAGCTATGACAAACAGAACTTAAAGACGGTGAAGGGGGCTGGCCAGTTAGTTCAGCTGGTTAGAGTGTGGTGCTGATAACACCAAGGGCCAGGGTTCAGTTCCTGAACTGGCTAGCCCTCTTCACTGTCCTTAAGTGCTATTTACAACAGCTTCAGCCTTATATGTTTTCCCTGAGTCAGTGAAGGTATCAAATGGAAGGTGGGAAATAGAAGGCCAGTCCTAAAGAAATCTGTGTGTCTGAAGCCAGCTAGCCAAAGCACTTTTTAGTTACATCAGTCAATAAATTTCCTTATTTGTTTAAGCAAAGAGTTTTCAGTTAATGTATATGCAGTACAGGTATTAACAATTCTTAAAAAGCAACCATGTAGTATATGTCAATTGTACTTCAATAAAGGGAAAAAAACAACCCAACCAAGCAATGACTTACACATATCAATTTATGGGGAACATAATTTAATTGTTTAATGATTTAAAAATTATTTCATAATGCTTTAAGATATACGTTAAACACCAATTAGTGTCATATTATATGAGAGTACTTAAAACGTTCATGAAAAAATAGAGTTAAACGATAATAGGAATCTTCCCAGACATATTTCCCAAATATGTAACACCTAACTAATCTAGAGTTACTTTTAATTTTTTTATTCATCACTTCTTATTTCTACAACCAGAAAATAAAAGTACACTATTTCCAAGAGAATAAACATATTCTTAGAGTCATGAAAAAAAAAACAAGGAAAAAACCTGGGATTAAACACATGAATTTATTACTGCTCCCTCCTGAAAACTCACTAAAATGACAGTAGGGAAATAAAAATGCATAAATCAACAAAAAACAGAGATAAGAGAAAACACAAATATAAATAAAGCAACAAAATTTTGGAAGATGGAAAGGGAAAAGTGAGCAGCAGCAGCTGACTTAACAGAATGAAGAAGGCTGAAACCTAATTGCCTGCACTGAGGAAGTTAGTAAAAACAAGCTGGTCCAAGTGGATTGGGAACTGAAGTCATCAGAAATGGGACTAAAAAAAGTTAGATGTAATGAAAACCGACATAGCGACTAGTGTCCCATTGCCCAAACTCAAAGTTAGGCAACTAACTTCCTCCTGTGTAGAAAACAGGTTGCTTGCTCTCTGGAGGGGCTAAACCAGAGAGGCTGTATGTAGGCTTAAGGAAACTGGTGCAGCTGAGGAAAGGGATGAAGTCTCTTACTGAAAATACGAAGGTACAGTGAAGCCAGCGTAAAGATAGTGAGCCTCTTGGATGGTTCTCCTGTAGGCTCCCAAAACATTGGCAATAAGGCTTATTTCCCACCCTTCTCCCTCAGACAAGTGAACAGAAGACTGCTCTCTGGTAAAAATGACTAGATCAAGAAAAAGAACTGTAGAAATTAAAAAAGATGTATCACCTCTTGACCACTCTTAAATATGAATAGACATCTGAGGACCTTCAATCATTTGGGAAAAAAAGCCAACAAAATGGAATACAGAAATCAAAATAAACAGGAAAAAAAAAAATCCTCAGAAGAAATGGGAGGAAACTTCAAAAAAACTGTAGTTAATATCCTTAAGGAGAAAAAGACACTGCACTGTGAAAAAAGAAATATACATTTTATAAAGTAAGAAAAGAAACATTCAGAGAACAAGAAAAATTCTTAGTAATAAAAAAAGTCAGCAGAATTAAAAAAACAATATAATAGTTCATAAGATAAAGCTTAAGAAATCTCCCTAAAAACAGAAAAAGAGACAGAGACTGAAAATAGAAGAGAAAAATAAGAAAATTAAAGTTCAAGGAAAGAGAAAATGCAGTAAAGAATACTATTAAAGAAACAATACAAAAAATTCCTCAGAACTGAAGAATATCAGATTGAAAGCATGGCCACCACGAGTGCTAAGGACAATGAATGAAAAAGATCTGCACCAAGCTACCTTGTCATGAAATTTCAGAATTCTAGGGATAGAGAGCAAACCCTAAAACCTTCCAGGATCAGGAATACTAGAAACCGGATGATAATAAAGAAAAGGGTATCAAATTCTAGGTAAATAGAAGAAATAGCTTTAAGACAAAAAGGTGAAGAAGGCTGCCTCCCAAGGTCAGGAACACAAGAGCAGGACGTGGCAGAGCGGGGAGCTGCTGGGCTACATACTCTCTGTAGTATTATTTGCCTTACTAATCTATATACATGTATTACTTACATGAAAAATTAAAATGCAATTTAAAAAGCATCCAGTCAATTTCCAAATTACTTTATTAAAGAAATAACTTACCTGAAAAACAACTGAAAAGGCCTTTGATTTTATTTTTGCTAATGATTCTGCCCTTTCACATCTCTGGAATTAAAATACACAAAAAGGAAAAAATGTTAAAACACACAAACGTTAGGTAAAATTATGAATACCCAAGTATTTGTTATCAGAAGTAAGATTTGAGACAAAAGGTAGGGTTTAAAAGAAACTAACATTTATTGGGCACATATTGAGTACAGACATAAATCCGCACTGCATTCTCTAGCAGACATAGCAGGTGCCACAATACCATCCCCACAGCTACTGATCATTTTCATTCAGGATTTAAGGAGGATAAAATGAACGAAAGCCTTGGTGATCAGGCAGAGCCCTTGACTGCCATTCCCTCCTCCTCTGCCTATACCCAAAAACAGCTCCTTGTCTCTCACCCACCAAGAGGGATGAAAACTCTGGAGGCAGGAAGCAGTAAATAGTAGCCTGGGCTCCACACTGGTTGAAAGGCTAACCAAGTGGGAAAAGACATATTACAAAAGCTTTTCCCTGCCCCTCTAAGGTGTGAGCGTAGCTTCTACCCTGCTGAAAACTGTTAACACCCTGATTTCCAACCTACACTTGATGTGGTCTTTCACAAGGTTTCCAGTAAAGAACAAACTACCTTTTCAGAGAACCATGATTCAGAATTTTCTCTGATATTTATTATAATACTGACAAAGGGTCATAATGCTTAGTATACAGATTCAAAGCCACATATAAAATGAAAAAAAAAACTAACCAAACTACTGCCCTATAAGCAATCATATAGCAAAGTTTTCTGACCTCTGATTCTTGCGAACTTCCTTCCCTCTTTTCTTCTCCATCTTTAATTTTTGATTTTAAGGATGGATTCTAAAACTAACCAAACTACTGCCCTATAAGCAATCATATAGCAAAGTTTTCTGACCTCTGATTCTTGTGAACTTCCTTCCCTCTTTTCTTCTCCATCTTTAATTTTTGATTTTAAGGATGGATTCTAAAAGAGCAAAAAGTTACTTCATATATACAAATATACAGATTTACAATTCAACTTCAGAACAATGAGAATCCATTAATTACTGAAAAACTAAAAGATCATTTCACATTATTGCAACATGGTTCACCTGTCATTAATATCAGTTAGGTTTCAGAATAGTTCTAAAATACATCAATAAAATGCTTAAAGCCTCCTACGTAAGGAAAGCATGCACTTTAAGTGATGCTATGAAAATCTGTTTATTCTCCTTTCCTTTGGGTTTTCAGAGAACTTAATAATGCTCAGTAAAGAGAGTTTATGCGCTAAAAGAGAACACTAATAGATTTTTACATTAAATGCCTGGGTCATTTGTGTAACCTATTTGTAGCACTTAAAGTATTCAAACATTCTAAAACTTGTTATCTCTCACTAAATAAATGTGCGTAGACAGATTTTTACATTAAATGCCTGGGTCATTTGTGTAACCTATTTGCAGCACTTAAAGTATTCAAACATTCTAAAACTTGTTATCTCTCACTAAATAAATGTGCGTAGAGGAATCAAATTATTTTCTTCTCCCCAAGACTGTCATCTTCTTATCACTTTCTTTGTCTGAAAATTTCTTAAAATTAAGTTTTAAGCCAACTTCCTTCAAATAATGGAAAGCCAAAACGTGGCAAATTTTTCTAAAAGACAATATATAGATATCTATATAGAATTTGTGAAAACACTAACACATTATCAGACATACAGTAAATAAACAAAAATTGCTTATTTTTTACTTTTACTTTTTACTGAAAAATTTACTAAAATAAGATGGAGTAGTAGTTTCAAAGGTGAATTTAGCAAGGCTGGCCTTTAGGTTTCCAGAGTAAAATGTTTCTGTAGCTCAAAAGGTTACAGTGAGCAGCTCTAGCATCAATACTTTGTTTAAGAAAACTAAACTGAAGATTTATGTTGATGAGTCTTGAAAATGGATAAACCACATCAGGTAGGGAATATGGTAAACAGAGAAGCACATGCCCTGCCACAGTGGGAGAAGTCACCACCCAGGTCCATCTGCTGCCATGTAGGAAAGTGGAACCAGCGTTATGAGACCTTCTGATTTTTCAGAGAAGTTAGATGTCTGGAATTTTAGATGAAGTCCACAAATATTTAAATTTTGGTAATTCAAATTTTAAAAACAATGTTAGGATCAACTCTGTGCCAAACAAAACACATCTGTGTGCAGGATTTGGCCCAAAGACCACCAGTGTGCGACCCCTGGAAAATGCGAAATTATAAAGATTATAATAAATCTGTGGTATAACAAGATTACTTACTCCTCTACAAAAATATTTGTATACTCCATATGTAAGGTTAAATAACATCACATCACTAATAAGTGGCAAAGGCGGAACTAGAAAAGTAAAGCCCTCTAACTCTTATCTCCACAGGAATATAGCCACTAAACTAGGATGCCTCTCAACATTTCCATCCATGTCTAAACGTTCATGTTTAATGCAAAGGTAAGGTACCAAGCAATTACATACCTGTCTATCTTTGTGCCACTGCTGATGCTCCAAAACTATGTTCTTAATATTGTCAAAAAAATCATCCTTTATCAAGCTGAGCGCTTTGTCTGGCTTGGACTTATCAGCTGAAATTATATGTTTCATTCTCTGATAATGATCATGAACATTTAGCATTTCCTGAAAGTGAAAAGATGAGTCCTTTATTTCAATATTTGAGGAGAAACATACAGACAAAACCAGTGCAAAATAAGATCATGTTCCAAAGTGACTATGAGTTGATAGGAAATAACATGCTACAGTATATTGAAAATAACATAATCATGTAAGCAAAACAGTAAAACTTATTAATGAAGAGGCTGCTTTCCAGAGGTATGGATTCACTGATTTCAACTCAAGAAGCATTAACTAAGATACACTGTTATGGGGAGACACTGGGGAAAAACCAATTAGTTAACACAGAACATTCTGGTATATAACAAAAATTATTTGTAGCATAAAGTATCATTAAATATCACTACTGATAACTAAGATCATATCTTACATCATAATATTACATCAAGAATATTTACATCATTCTTTATACTCTGCTGGAAATACTTATACTACTCTCACCCAACCCTCCACAGAAATCCCACAGACTGTGTGCCCATCCCCATAAGCTTCACCACTACTCCAGTGATAAGATTCAGGATTAAAAGAAATAAAGGGTGGAGCCGGCCCGGTGGCGCACTGCTATAGTGCGCCACTTGGGAAGCACGGTGGTGCTCCCGCTGAGGGTTCGGATCCCACGTACAGACCGGTTCCCGCTCACTGGCTG